AAAATCAGCCCCCGGCTGCAGGGCCCCTTCATGCTTCAGAGAAGAACCTCTCGCGACCTTTTGGGGAATCGCCGCCAACTCGAGTGCGCGGCCCGAGGCGTTAGTGAGAATTGGGATTGAAGCTTTTCTAAAAGTTGCAAATGTTTTTCAAGAAAACCGCTGGACTAATGCTGCTGCATCTGCCTATGGCTTTTATTGTGAAAGTTTGCACCGGTGGGAGGGGATATGAAATGAACCCTCCTCCCGTGTAGGAGGGAAGTTTGGAAAGTTTGAAATGAAGGCCCGAGGCCTGCGGTTCCGCGTACCTCTCCAGAGATAAGGCTGGCGCGTCCTCGGCTCGCTGTGAGCGACGCGCCTCTCCCTGTTGGCCAGACCCGACACCACGCGGCAGGTTTTTCATTTTTTTTGGAATGCTGGGTTTCTTCATAGTTAAAGGGATTCCTCTACCTGCTCGTTTAATGAGTTTTTGGGGAGAAAAGGATGACGGCGATAACTGCAGTCGCAGGAAAGAGGGAGTGTCTCAGATTGAACTTGCATTCTACCTTCTGGCCATTAGGGGGCGCCACATCTGGTTACAAAAATACCTCCATTTCCTCACTTGATTTATTTCATCAGTTAACATTGGAAACGTGAGTTTATGGTCTGAATCGCTTTGCAATACAACTTGAGGTTCGTCATGCTTTAGGGCGGGGCTACTGCGATTGAAAGGTCGCTGCCCAAATATGGACAGAGGAGTAGACGCGCCGTTCAAGGCCAAGGTCGCGACAGCCGTGAACCAAGATGCAGGGGTGCAAACTCATCAGGGCTGAAAAAGGTGACAAAGTGAAAAAGCACATATGGAAGGCAAACCTAACCTCTGCCTCAATGAAGGGGGCGTGCAAGAGCCTGGAAAATGGACTTCCATTCCAGTGACGTTATAAATAAATAATGGGAGACCAATGCCAGAGCTAAAAGGTTTGCTTCAAACGACGGGACATAAGATAACTCGAGCGCCTACTCACATTATAAGACAAATTGCTTTGGAAATGTTTGGATCCTCAAGAATAGATTTTGCTTTGGACGAACAGAATAAATATGAGCCAGAGGGAGGGAGGGGGCTTCTCACCCCTCATTCCCTAACGTTACATTGATATCAGCCTTTGATTTCTCCGTTGATTTCCCATTATTTATTTTGGGATTTTTTAGTGTGAAGGTAAGGTAGGTACATTTTTCGTCGTTTTCTCGCTTCAATTTTTCAAAAGTTCCATAGAAGTAGACCGTGTACTATCCGATAACACCGTGATTGTAACCAGCAAAAATGGTTGAGGTGATTTGCGAGGCGTCTGTCAGCCAACTGACATTAGCACGTTAGCCTACGTTAGAAAGACTGACGTTCTTGCAGCGTCACTCCTGTCTATTACGGCATCTAGGCAGCTAAAGACCCGAAGATGACGTGATGACACGAGTTGGCCAAACGAACAAGCTTGAAAAAAATATTCATGACAGCTTGCGTTCGCAGATTACTTGGACCGAATTTCGCCGAAAGAGGACAAGTTTGAACCCCTGAAGATGGCGACGTATGAGATTCGAAGCCAACACCAATGGCGCACAATAGTCTACGATATGCAGCGACTCTGTCGAGTCACAAGGCGCATTTATTGAGTTGATGCTGGTGAAATGTGCAGCTGCGGCGTGAGGAGTTTGGGTCTTTCCCATGAAGACTAATAAATTAAACATTTTATCAGCCGCACGTTGCTCAATATGTGATTTGTTGCAACCCTCACAGATCCTTTAATCAACGGAGCTGCATTCCGCTGAGTGTCTTCTTCTTTTGCGCCGAAGGCTGTGTGATGACAGTCAGCGGCGGGAGAGGGAGACGTACTCAGAGAACTCCTGGTGGACACAATTAAGCTACCAAAGTCCATTTTCTCCTTCTTCTTACTCTCTTACCCGCCGTTTTGATTATCTCCAGCTAAGAGGAGCTGTCATTTTCGATCAGCGCCACCGCACGGATGCATCTCTGGAAATTCCGGCGGGCCCTGGCGTGTCACGGGAGCACGGCGGCGGCGGGGAACCGGACTTCCATTAAAAACCTGGATGCCGAGCCGTCGGGCCCTCGGCTCTGATTCAATGAATAAGTCACGGTAAGTGGCTCCTTTCGGGTTTAGGTGCTGCGAATGCGACCGAACGAAAAGAAAGCTCGTTAATTAAACATCCCATTCTCTCCTCGCTCCCCTTAAAGACATCAGATCGTTAAAGCGACGGGGACGCAGGAGGTGGTCGAGTCCCTCCGGCGCCATTCACCGGACAGACGAGGGTAGAGGTCGCCCGGGGATTGGAGGGGCGGGGTTTGTTGGAAGCAAGATTTCACACCTATCCTCGGTCACGTCTGCAGTCTACACACCTGTGTCCCCCATCGTCGGTCAACCCCTTCCAACCCTGCTTCAGGGAGAGAGCCGGTCACATGTGTGAGAAGGTCGGGGATCACAAAGATCTGATCTGTTTTTTTGTTTTTTATCTCGAGCTCATGGGTTTCAGGAATTACTCCAATCCCAATAAGCAGTAACCCGGGTCCGTGGTTTTAGCCTGTGATCTGTGATCTGCAGCCTCCATTTGCCCGAAAGTGGGAAGAAGGCGGCAGCAGCAGGGGGAAGAGAGAGGAGGGGGGAGCGGCGGGGGGGTACGGAAGGGGAAGAATGAGAAAGTGGGCTGTGAGTTTGAAAGGAGTCGAGCCTTTGACGCAGATGGGGGTCTGGAAACAGTTGCCATGGAAACCCCGCCCAGCCTCCAATGAGTAAGTGAAGAAGGGGAGCGGGGGGGGTAAAAGGGAGCAGAGAGTAAATGGGTGATAGAGAGAGAGCTTTCAACTAAAGGTATTTGTCGGATCTGCCTAACCTTTTGGGGGGGGGGGGGTTATAACGAGATCCATTACTATGCACACCAAAACAAACGCCAGGTGTTGATGTTGCTCACTCCTGCACCTCCTCCTCTTCTTCGCTTGAGAGCGATCTGCTCCTCATTCATCTTCTACAGGGCCCCAGCTGGGAGCTCCACAGTGAGCCCCCCCCCCCCAACGGTCTGGGAGACTCAAACCTCTGCTGCTTATTAGGTTCTTTCATAGTGATGCTACATAATGAATCACCTGGGAGCTGTTATTCTTTTTGCTATCCGGAGTATTACATCACCCATCTGACATCCGGCTAACGGAACACAAACGCAGACACGTGAGAGTCGGAGGAGAGAGAATTGAGTTGTTTGTGAACGCACGTCAGGGCTAAAGCACACAAACACACACACACGCGCGCGCGGTTCAACCAAGGCGGTGAGGCCGTGATGGACACGCAGCCGAGCGCTTTGAGGACAGATGTGGGAACGTCCAATCACACCCTTCATAAACTTTAAGTCTCCATTAGCGGTTCGGTGTAATTGTCCCTCTTCTGCAGGCAGGCCACGCCGTTCCTCCTCCACGCGTCCTTCGAGCTGTCGTCACGCCAGTCGGCGGTGAGAGGTTAATGGTATCGATTCGCTTTTCCTCTACATTTTTTAATTGGATTTGGTTTATTTGACTAAACCGTTTGGATGGAGATGGAGTGCATTAAATCAGCTAAAAGGTAGAACGCACTGCACGCTTTTTTTTTATTCCGCTGTCTAATCCATACAAACAGAACAATAACTTTGTTTTCTGGGTTCTCTTAAAGAACCCTAAACACAAAGCTATGGATTACATGAACAACTGAGTGATGAGTTACTTAATCCCAATGAACTATTTATTCCCAGAAGCACTGTGGTTATTTATATTTAATTCAGTTTTCAGGGAGAAACATGAGACAATCTTTTCAGCTGATATTTAGTATTTAGTCTAAATACACACACGTCTAAGTCAAATGCTGGGAAATGCTTAAACTGTTTAAAATGTTTTTTTATTTTTAGGGGGTGGGGTCTCCTTGGCTTCAAATGAAAGCACACAGAGCATAAACAAGCGGGTGCATGTGTGTGTGTGTGTGTGTGTGTGTGTGTGTGTCTGTGAGAAACAAACTGTGAAAATCACCTTAATGCAGAAAATCCATATATTTCATCGCTTGGCG